CTCTCGACTCAATCTCGACGACTGGCTCTTTCTAGCTCGCTCTCGAGATCTGTTGTGCAGACAAAGGGACCTTGTGCTCCGGCACCTGAGCCAGCTGGGGCTTCAGGTCAACTGGGAAAAGAGCAAGCCTTCTCCTGTGCAGAGCATCTCTTTTCTCGGTATGGAGTTGGACTCAGTCAACATGACGGTATGTCTCACAAACAAACATGCCCAGTCAGTGCTGAACTGCCTGAATGCATTCAGGAGGAATACAGCAGTTCCACTGAAACAATTTCAGAGGCTCCTGGGGCATATGTCATCTGTAGCCGTAGTAATGCCACTCGGATTGTTACATATGTGACTGCTTCAGCACTGGCTATTCGGCCGAGTCCCAAGATGGGCATGGCGCCATGGCACACTCAGCGTGTCCATTACGCTGAGTTGTCCCCAGACTTTCGGCTCTTGGTCAGACCTTTTCTTTCTACGGGCAGGAGTACCCTTAGAACAAGTGTCCAGCCATGTTGTTCTTATAACAAGACAGGCTGGGGTGCCATGCCCCATGCTTGGTGCCTGGGACATTTTCATCTCAAGGTAACCCAACGCTGCATCAGAGCTGTGACACATTGGAAAACCCCTCGCCTTTTTCAGTCAGGCATCCCATTGGGACTGACCTAAAGCAGGAAGGTGGTTACGACAGATGCCTCCAACTCGGGAGTTGGGGAACACTGTACGAGGGCAGACTGGCGTCCGGCTCCTGGTCAAACCGGGAGCAGTGTTTGCACATTAACTGCCTCGAGATGATGGTGGTTTTTCTAGCCCTAAAAACTTTCCAGCTAGCCTTAAAGGGGCACCACGTCCTGGTCTGCTCGGACAACATGGCGGTGGTAGCCTTTATAAATCATCAAGGTAGTCTCAGGTCACACTCTCTTTACAGGACTCTTTTTTTGGGCACAGTGCAACCTCCTCTCGCTGAGAGCAGTTCATGTGCCGGGCAGACTGAACCAAGGAGCAGACATGCTGTTCAAGGGCAATGTAGCACCAGGAGAACGAAGACTACATCCCCAAATGGTTCAAATGGTATGGTCTGTCTTCAGGAGGGCAGAAGTGGACCTCTTTGCCTCAAAAGACAACTTTCACTGGCCAATTTACTTCTCAAGGCTCGCTTGTATGCCTTCCCCCCGATTGCCCTGCTTCCTCAGGTCATCAGACAGGTCAGGAAAGTCAGGTGCTAGGTCCTCCTGGTGGCCCCACTCTGGAGGAATCAGACGTGGTTTCCCGAGTTGATTCAGCTGCTATCGGCAGCCCCCTGGCCGATACCATTGAGGACGGACCTCCTCTCTCAAGCAAAAGGCATGACTTGGCATCCCCGGCACGAGTTGTGGAGTCTTCATGTTTGGCCCCTCAACGGGAATCTTTACAGCTCCCCACAAGAGTGACTAATATCATTTTGGAGGCTAGAGCCCCATCTATGAGTGAGTGGGCGACCTGCAAGCACTGTCAGTCAGTGCTTCATGCCTTCATGTCTTGAGAACAAGGCTTACAGTGTCCTATCAGAGTGTGGGCCCACTCCACCAGAGGAATGGCCTCCTTTTGGGCTTGGTCCAGCGGAGATTCAGTTGGTGATATCTGTGCAGCAGCCGGCTTGTCTTTGCCGTCTACCTTCACCAGATTTTATAACCTGGATGTTCCTGCCCTTCAGTCACAGATTTTGTTCGCTTAATTTACCTAATCCCCTAGATTAGTGGAAAAGGTTTTGTTATGTGGACCCCAGCCTGTTGGCTTAGGTCTCATATTTGGCTCATGCTTTTAGGAGCCATCCTTGCAGCTCTCTGGGGCTGGGCTCGCAGAGCGGCTTCGTTCTGCACTTGCTTATAGCACGGCACTATTGGATCCCCATAAGCATACAATGCAACGGGAGAAACCGTTCGAAAGGGAATGCTCCAGTTACTATTGTGACCGTGGTTCCCTGAGATAAGGGAACGACGTTGCGTAAGCTGCCGTGCTATAAGGCTGCACGTGAGTTGATGAATCGCTATCGCTATCAGTCGAAAGATTTGGATGAATGGTGCTTTGAGACGACTTATATAGCAGTCGGCCCCACCCCTTTTGGCGGGTTGAAGCGCCATTTGTTCGTGCAGCTACACGAACGTGAATAAATCAGGCTTCAGTATCAGAGTAAACAGGAGTTTACCCCCTTAAGCGTGCAACGCAATGCTCATTGCTTTATCTCAGGGAACCGAGGTCACGATAGTAACCAAAGTGTTTTTTTTTTTTTTTTATCTACAATATTTACATTTGCTCAGTGTGATGCATTCAAGGTATAAGTTTTATCAGTATACAGTATGCCTTCCCTGGGGATCAAACTCATGAACTCAGCACAGTTAGCGCTACCAGTTAAGATACCAGAATGCAGATTAGAAAAGCTCGAGGATACCAATAATCTTCTTAACATTTGTTTTTCTAGAGTGGACCATCTTATGATCATGCAGAAAGCCATTAACCACCATCACTCAGAACTGACAAGATTCACGACAGAGCTCACTTTTTGCCATCCCTAAATGAACGGCTGAATAGAAGACCAGCTAGACGCATATATATATATAT